TTCCTGGAACATGGTGAAACCCCATCCTCTACTTTAAATACAAAAAACTAGCCGGCGAGGTGGCGGGCCGCCTGGTAGCCCCCAGTTAACTCGGGAGGCTGAGGCCGGAGAATGGGCGTGAACCCGGAGGCGGAGCCTTGCGTGAGCCGGAGATCGGCGCCCCCCGGGGGACAGAGCGGACTCGTATGAATTTTAAAAATTAATGTTTCTCCCATGTATCTGGTACATTTAAAGAATTGACACTGATGACTACAGTAGAGATATTGACAGAAGATTAGCCCTGCATATGCTGTATTTACACAAATAGATTTTTTAAAAACAATTAAGCAAGATTGTCAATATTATTTTAGGTGCAAAATTTCCAATCAAATGGACAGCTCCTGAAGCTGCACTGTATGGTCGGTTTACAATAAAGTCTGATGTCTGGTCATTTGGAATTCTGCAGACAGAGCTGGTAACAAAGGGCAGAGTGCCATATCCAGGTAAGCTTGCATTTTATTAGCTCTTGGTTATCTCATGAGTGGCTTTATCAGGAGTTTATTAGGAACAGAATTGTAAGCGGGGAAAAGGCCTTTATTTCTTCTCATAGTCCCCCTGCCTCTCCCTCTCCCCACTCCTTCCCTTTACTGTGGCATTGGATGGGTAACAGTCAGTGAAAGCCACGATCCTTGACTGGGTGAGCATATGAGGTATGCCCCACATTCACCTCAGCTTAGGACATTTTCCAAAAGGGCCTCTTACTGTTCTCTCAGATAATAAACATATCTTAAATATCCTGGGTCATCACCCCATACCCTAAATAATTGTTATTTCCCAGTAGTGTGACTGGTGGGTTTTTTGTTGTTGTTTTTTGTTTTGGTTTGTTTTTTGAGACAGAGTCTCGCTCTGTCACGCAGGCTGGAGTGCAATGGTGCAATCTCGGCTCACTGCAACCTCTGCCTCCTAGGTTCAAGCAATTCTCCTGCCTCAGCCTCCCAAGTAGCTAGGATTACAGGCTCGTACCACCATGCCCAGCTAATTTTTGTATTTTTAGTAGAGATGGGGTTTTGCCATGTTGGCTAGGCTGGTCTCGAACTCCTGACCTCAGGTGGTCCACCTGCGTAGGCCTCCCGAAGTGCTGGGATTACAGGCATGAGCCACCGTGCCCATCCTGGTATGTTTTTTTAAATATATACTAGCCTTGTTTTCTTCATTAGATTATTTTGAGATCCTTTTCTTGTTTTATTTCTCCTAACAAAACCTATTTATAAACCAGTACTTTAAAAAATATGTCTGCCATTAATAAGGAGGAAAAATAAAAATGTTTCCCTTTCAAAATTATGAGATTTATATAGTTCCTAGGGGGAAGGAGAAATTTTAGCCCACTTGAAATTCAGCTACCATTGAGTATTATTTTAGTTTGTTACTTCTCAAACTCTTCTACTGAAGTATCCTAATGTTGAGAGAGAAAGCATATAAAATTTAATCTTTAGGAAAAACTGTTTTGCTAGTCTTAAAGGTTTTGCATATTATCTAACATATCCCTCTTCCCTAATACCTCCAACTAGATCTAATGCCATCAAATTTTATCACCCACTTTGTCTTGTTGCTGTTAGTCACTGATACCATTCAAGTTCTTCTCATTTAATGACTCACCCTTGTCCTCTCCAACAAAACTCCTCTCCTGTCTTAATTCCTTGTCATCTTGATACGCATGGTGATGATTTTTCTATTACCCTGGTCTCTTGTAGCTTGAACTCTTCTCCTGTGTAATCTTGTCTTTCACTCTACCTTAGCCGGTCTTCCCATCTTCATACCTTAAACCTTAACATTACCAATAACTGCAACTCTTTCAAAATCTATTTCATGCGTCTACTTTCTGACCACCACTTGCCATCTTTCTAGATAATTCTTTCTACCCCAACCCTAGCAATTTCTTGATGCTACCAGGATCTTTACTCCATTGTTTCTGCCACCTTTTCCTGCTTCCTCACCCGCTTCGTGAGACCATTCTCCTTAAATTCCCTAGTGAAGCAGTATAATCACTCCTTTGCAGTTACCTTGCCCTTCACCCTTCTCTGATTTCATCATCATTGCTTAACAAAATCACCGTGCTAAATAAATCCAACTCTGCCTACACCACACCCGCAAACAGGGCTAGAAAAAACAACACAGCCATGCACCATAGTTTCACTTTAAATGTAAAACCATGAGGAAATTTCAGTTTTAGCTGTGATGGAGAGGCATTAGCCTCTTAAAAATCCAACTTACTATAGCACTATAAACAACTACAAAAGTTAGATCAAATATGTAAAAGAACATTGCATCAAGAAAGGCCATATTCCTTAAGACAGGGCAAGTACATGAGCTGAGCCTTACATTTATATTGGCTTTTCTGAAGGCATTTTCTAAAATAGCATAGGGCAGTAAAACCCAGACAGAAAGCATAAGTCTTATTAAGCAAAGGAGACAGAGATCCAAGTGCTGGAATCTGAAGGACAGGGTCCCAGAGAAGGAACTATAGGGAAAGAACTCTAAAATTCTGCTTTCAAATTCCAGTTGGGCATGGTGACTCACTCCTATAATCCCAGCACTTTGGGAGGCCGAGGTGGGTGGATCGCTTGAGCCCAGGAATTTGAAGCTACACTGAGCTATGATTGCACCACTGCACTCCAGCCTGGGCAACAGAGCAAGACCTTGTCAAAAAAAAAAAAAAAAAAAAAAAATCCCTTCACGTCCTTGCTCAGTTCTAATCTGCACATACACAGGGGAAAGCTCTGGGAGACCTAACAGAAAATAGCCACTAGGAGGCTGGGGAGTCAAGCAGAGTTCAGAGGCTACAGAGTGCTGAGTTCTTGTCCAACCAAAGTGGATAGATGTTGGAGAATACCCTAGGCTTTTTGTTGAGACCCCAGAAAGTCCATACCCTAGGAGAAAGGGCAAAACTGAGCAAAACTAAGCCCTAACAGCTAGGTGATCTGCCAGTAAATTACAAATGGAATTAAACTGAACATCCTTCAGAAAAAGAGAGCATGATCCAGATAATCTACAGTGTATGATTCAAAATGTCTAGCACAAAATAAAAAGTTATTAGACATACGAAGAAGGGAAGAGATGACTGATTATCAAGAGTTCAAAATGTGGTTGGGCGTGGTGGCTCACCCCTGTAATCCCAACACATTGGGAGGCCGAGGCGGGTAGATCACAAGGTCAGGAGTTTGAGACCAGCTTGGCCAAGATGGTGAAACCCCATCTCTGCTAAAAATACAAAAATTAGCCAGTCACGGTGGCGGGCACCTGTAATCCCAGCTACTTGGGAGGCTGAGGCAGGAGAATCACTTGAACCCAGGAGGTGGAGATTGCGGTGAGCTGAGATCGTACCAGTGCACTCTAGCCTGGGTGATAGAGCGAGACTGTCTCAAAAAAAAAAAAAAAAAGAGTTCAAAATCAATAGGAGCAGACGCTGAGATAATTCAGATCTTGGAGTTAGCAAAAGACTTCAATATAGCAATATATGGAATGTTAAAATAGAAAAGTTTTGCAAAATAATGGAAAACTGGAGAATTTCAGCAGAATTGGAATCTCTCTCTATATATATAAAAAAAGAATCAAATGGAAATTAATTAATTAATTATTTATTTTTCTTTTGAGACAGAGTCTCGCTTTGTCTCCCAGGCTGGAGTACGGTGGCATGATCTCGGTTCACTGCACCCTCCGCCTCCCAGATTCCGTCGATTTTCCTGCCTCAACCTCCCAAGTAGCTGGGGTTACAGGCATGTGCCACCACGCCTGGCTAATTTTTTGTATTTTTAGTAGAGAGAAGGTTTCGCCATGTTGGCCAGGCTGGTCACAAACTTCGACCTCAAGTGACCCGCCCGCCACAGCCTCCCAAAGTGCTGGGATTACAGGCGTAAGCCACTCCTCCTGGCCCTCAAATGGAAACCTTAGAACCGTAAAACAGTATATGAAATTAAGTACTCACTAGTTGGGCATAGTAGAAGACAAGATTAGTGGATTCAGACACATTAACAAAGTATCCAAGGTAATGCAGAGGTAAAAGCTAATGGGGAAGAAAGCAGAGCAGAATGTATGAAACCAGGGGGGCATAGTAGTGAAAAGGTCTAATTTATATGTAATGGAGTCCCAGAAGCAGAAAAGAGGAAAAAAAAGAAACAGTGGCAACATTTTTAAAAAGTAGTGGCTAAAAATCTTCTAAATATGATAAAACAAAATACCAACCCACAGATTAAGTGAACCTCAAACAAGAAAAATAAACTCAGTGAAATTCAAGCAAACATATCATGGTCAAATGATAAAAATCAAAGCCAAACAGCCCTAAGGAGGTGGTGCAGGTTGAGCATTCCTAATTCAAAACTCCGAAATGCAACCGGGCGCAGTGGCTCAGGCCTGTAATCCCAGCACTTTGGGAGGCCAAGGCTGCTGGATCATGAGGTCAGAAGTTCGAGACCAGCCTGGCCAACATAGTGAAACCCCCGTCTCTACTAAAAATACAACAATTAGCTGGGCATGGTGGCGCACACCTGTAGTACCAGCTACTTGGAGGCTGAGGCAGGAGAATCACTTGAACCGGGGGGGTGGAGGTTGCGGTGAACCAAGATTGTGCCACTGCACTCCAGCTTGGGCAACAGAGCAAGACTTCGTCTCAAAAAATAATCTGAAATGCTCCAAAATCCAAAACTTTTTGAGCATTGACATGATACCACAAATGGAAAATTCCACACCTGTCCTCATGTGACAAGTCACAGTCAAAATGCCGTCAAAATTTGGTTTTGTGCACAAAATTATTTTTAAGATTATGTATATGTATGTGTACATATATGTATAAGGTGTATATGAAACATAAATGAATTTTTTTTTTTGAGACAGGGTGTCTCACCCAGGCTGGAGTGCAGTGGCATAATCAGGGCTCACTGTAGCCTCTACCTCCCTGGGCTCAGGTGATCCTCCCACCTCAGCCTCCCAAGTAGCTGGGACCACAGGTGTGTGCCATCCACCTAGCTAATTTTTGTATTTTTGTAGAGACGGGGTCTCACCATGTTGCCCAGGATGGTCTTGAAATCCTGGGCTCAAGCGATTTGCCTGCCCTCGCCTCCCAAAGTGCTGGAATTACAGGTGCAAGCCACCGTGCCTGGCTCATAAATGAATTTTGTGTTTAGACTTGGGTCCCATCCCTTAAGATATCTCATTATATATATATGCAAATATTCCAAAATCCAAAAAAATCCAAAACACTTCTGGTCCCAGACATTTCAGATAAGGGATACTCAGCCTGTATATTATCTACACAGGAACAACAGAGACAGCTAACTTTTCCTCAGATGTGGAAGCCAGGAAAGAGTAAAATTATGTCTTTAAAGTGCTTGGGGGAAAACTGATCTAAAACACCAAAAATAAAAATATCTTACCAAATTTATAATGTATATAAAAATAGACTCTCTGACATAACACAAAGGGAGTAAAGGAATAAGAGGTAAATCGTTTTAAGTTTGGAGCAGGTAAAAATACTTATTTTGAGTAAAATATAATAAACCAAGGAAGCATATTATAGTCTCAATGATCAAAAATAACAAGAGAAGATAAAAAGCCAACAGAGGAGAGAAAAATTTGAACATTGAAAAATGCTTGTTTAATCAAAATAAAAAGCAAGAGAGGAGAAAAGAATAAATGGAACAAAGATCAGGATGGTAGAATTAAACGCAACTACATCCATAATTAAATTACATTTAGGTACACTAAAAATTGCAATTAAAAAAAGATAAGTCTGGATTTTAAACACAAACACAAATACTATAATGGTATTTATAAGATACATACTGTAAGGTATTTTAAGAGACTGAAATTAAAAGGATGGAAAAGTTATACTCTGCAAATCCTAACTGAAGAAAGCCTACGTAGCAGTAGACTTTAAGGCAAGAAATAGTACTAGGGACAAAAAGAATGTTTCATAATGATAAAAGGGTCAGTTCAACAGGGACATAAAAATCCAAAATGAGCTATGTAACTACATAGTTTCAAAATGCATAAAAATGTATATGATTGGGATATTCTAGTTAAATATTCAGATGAGAATCAGAGTATAAACAATTTGTAGAGTACCCATCTTTAAAGAAGAAAAAGAGATACTTTATAACATCATTGTCTTTCTTTGATGATTTTAAGAGGATTTGGAAAGAACTTTCCGCATATAGGACAGACCGATCCGTTGCATACACTTCTCACAGCAGATTGTCCATTTCAAAGCAACAGCTCCTGTTTACTAGTCTTATTTGGGGACAGTAATAAACTTTGGTAAATATTTATTGACAGTATACTAAGTATTTACCATATGGGTTTTTTTTTTGTTTTTTTTTTTTTTTTTTTGAGGAGTCTCACTTTGTCACCCAGACTGGAGTGCAGTGGTGCAATCTCTACTCACTGCAACCTCTGCCTCCCAGGTTCAAGTGATTCTCCTGCCTTAGCCTCCCGAATAGCTGGGATTACAGGCGTGTGCCACCACACCCAGCTAATTTTTATATTTTTAGTAGAGATGGGGTTTCGTCATGTTGGCCAGGCTGATCTTGAACTCTTGACCTCAGGTGATCCGCCCACTCAGCCTCCCAAAGTGCTGGGATTACAGGTGTGAACCACCGTGCCCAGCTGGCATAAAATAATAGTTCTAATTATCAGAAAATTCTGAAGAGTGAAGTTCGTTTTTGTTTTGTTTTGTTTTGTTTTGTTTTTGAGATGGAGTCCAGCTCTGTCACGCAGGCTGGAGTGCAGTGGTGCAATCTTGGCTCACTGCAACCTCTACCTCCCGGGTTCAAGCGATTCTCCTGCCTCAGCCTCCCAAGTAGCTGGGACTACAGGCGCCCACCACCACGCCCAGCTAATTTTTTGTACTTTTTGTAGAGACGGGATGTCACCATGTTGGCCAGGATAGTCTCGATCTCTTGACCTCGTGATCCGCCTGCCTGGGCCTCCCAAAGTGCTGGGATTACAGGCATGAGCCACCGCGCCCGGCCTTTGAATGAAGTTTTGAATGAAAGCTTATTGGTAATTAGAAGTTATTTTCATAGGTTCCAGCTTATTTAGATTGGTTAATCCTAATAGTCAATTAAAATAATAAGGATAAAATAGAAGAAGAGAATGGAAAAGAAGTTCAATTATAGTAAGCCCTCACTGAATATTAATTCCCTTACTCCTTTTCTCCTTCCCCCAACAACTTCTGGTTGTATTTCCATGGTTAGTAAAATGTACTGGATTTCACTTTTTTCCCCCCACCCCGAGTTGGAGCCTCGCTCTGTCACCCAGGCTGGAGTGCAGTGGCGCAATCTCTGCTCACTGCAGCCTCCGCCTCCCGTTCAAGTGATTCTCCCACCTCAACTTCCCAAGTAGCTGGGATTACAGGCACCTGCCATCATGCCCGGTTCATTTTTGTATTTTTGTAGAGATGTGGTTTCACCATGTTGGCAAGGCTGATCTTGAACTCCTGACCTCAGGTGATCTCTGCCCACCTCAGCCTCCCAAAGTGCTAGAATTACAGGCAAGAGCCACCACACCTGGCTGGATTTCACTTATGAAGATGACAGTACCTAGTTAGATGAAAAGCTCAGAAAACTTCCTTTTAAGTATTGAGTTTCAAAGTCGTGTAGAGTCTTTTTAATAGTTTAAAAAATGTATTTTGAGAAATCACTTATTTCTCAAAAAAATAACTGAACATCTAAATAATAATGATTTAACCCCATTACATTTTCTTTAGAGAATCATAGTCTATTTTAAATACCATTCCTGATGACCGGTTGATAAAGTTTCCAAGAGATACGAGGGATGGCCTGACTTGCAGGCAGGTAGGGAAGGTGATGCGGGAGATAGGAAGTGAAATAGGGTTGCTGGCTTGATGAGACACTGTTGGGAAGAATTTGGAAAAGGAGGCATTTTCTGGCCTGTGATAAGATGGGGTGAGCTGCTGATCAGGGGGTTGAGGGAGGGGGGATTACAAAGGAATACGAGAAAGGAACCATGTGTAATATCTTGAAGAAAGTCAAACAGGTGATATTGGATAAGGAAACTGTTTCACAGAAGTAATTCAATATAAAGTTATGTAGTTAGTATATTTGGCAAAACCAAGACTAGAACTTTCTTCTGAATTCCTGTTTTAAAGTTCTTTTAGACACGATCTTGCCACCATTCCTCAGTAACCCAAGTTTGGTCATTGTTAAATGTTAATATTAGAAAGTACCAGTACCTTATAGTGGCACCCTAAATTCTTATTAATCAAATGAGGTTGGCTTTTGAAGACATTAGTATTAAAAATAAGATACAAGATGGAATGAAAAATTAGACATGTTAAAACATAGATTAACATTTTCTAAGCTCTTCTTGATATTCTCATGTTTAAAATTTATTTTGTTGCTTTGTTACAAGAATTATTTCACTAAATAAACTTAATATACTTTGAATCAGTTAGTGGCTAGGGGGTTTGTTATGTTTTCCTAGTGGTAGTCAGGACCATTGTTCTTTCATGTTTTAATCTTGTGTGTTAGGTATGGTGAACCGTGAAGTACTGGAACAAGTGGAGCGAGGATACAGGATGCCCTGCCCTCAGGGCTGTCCAGAATCCCTCCATGAATTGATGAATCTGTGTTGGAAGAAGGACCCTGATGAAAGACCAACATTTGAATATATTCAGTCCTTCTTGGAAGACTACTTCACTGCTACAGAGCCACAGTACCAGCCAGGAGAAAATTTATAATTCAAGTAGCCTATTTTATATGCACAAATCTGCCAAAATGTAAAGAACTTGTGTAGAGTTTCTACAGGAATCAAAAGAAGAAAATCTTCTTTACTCTGCATGTTTTTAATGTAAACTGGAATCCCAGATATGGTTGCACAAAACCACTTTTTTTCCCCCAAGTATTAAACTTTAATGTACCAATGATGAATTTTCCAACGTATTTCAGGGTCCAAAGAATATAATAGAGCTAAGATACTGATGACAGTGTGGGTGATAGCATGGTAATGAAGGGCAATGAGGCTACTGCTTATAAATCATTTCCTTTCTTTTTTTCCCCACAGTTAGAATTGCTCAAAGAAAATTATTTATTGTTACAGATAAAACTTGAGCGATAAAAAGCTATACTGTAATAAAATCTAAAATTAAGGAGTACATGGGACCAAATGATTCCATTCCAGTTTTTAAAGTTTCTTGCATTATTCTCAAAAGTTTTTTCTAAGTTAAACAGTCAATATGCAATCTTAATATATGCTTTCTTTTGCATGGACATGGGCCAGGTTTTTCAAAAGGAATATAAACAGGATCTCAAACTTGATTAAATGTTAGACCACAGAAGTGGAATTTGAAAGTATAATGCAGTACATTAATGTTCATATTCATGGAACTGAAAGAATAAGAAGTTTTCCACTTCAGTCCTTTTCTGAGGAGTTTGTCTTAGAATAATGAAGGTAACTAGAAAGTGAGTTAATCTTGTATGAGGTTGCATTGATCTTTTAAGGCAATATATAATTGAAACTACTGTCCAATGAAAGGGGAAATGTTTTAATCTTTAGATAGCATTCTAAGTAAGACCCAGCATTTAAAAAGCCCTTTTAAAAAAATAGATTTGGTGCTGTGAGATATTGCTAATATGTCCTTATGGGGATGGGTGCCACAAATAGAAAATATGACCAGATCAGGGATTTGAATGCACTTTTGCTCATGGTGAATATAGATGAACAGAGAGGAAAATGTATTTAAAAGAAATACGAGAAAAGAAAATGTGAAAGTTTTACAAGTAGAGGGATGGAATGTAATGTTTAATGTTGATGTCATGGAGTGACAAAATGGCTTTGCTGGCACTCAAAGCTCCTCACTTAGCTATGTTCTGAGACTTTTAAGAGTTATAAAGTATAACTATAAAACTAATTTTTCTTACACACTAAATGGGTATTTGTTCAGAATAGTGAAGTTACGGCTTCACATTCATTCCTGTGGGATATGACTTTAATGTAAAACATTTTTAGGACTCCAGTTTTCAAATCATGTTTGAATCTACTTTCGCTTTTAAAGTCTACATAATGGTGGTCATTTTTTCCCTTTTAGAATACATTAAATGGTTGATTTGGGAAGGAAGACTTAGTCTGAATATTAACAGCGGTGAAAAGGGAACAGTTTTTACCCTAAAGTGCAAAAGTGAAACATACAAAATAAGACTGATTTTTAAGAGTAACTCAGTAATTTCAAAATACAGATTTGAATGGCGGCATTAGTGGTTTAAGCGTCTAGCAGAGGAAAAATCGAATCTGATAAAATGAAGATCTGGTGTATATGTTTTAAAATACTCTCATATAGTCACACCTTAATCTTATATTAGGCCCCTCTATTTTCAGGATATAATTCTTAACTATCATTATTTACCTGATTTTAATCATCAAATTTGAAGTTCTTTGCCATGGCATATATGTTCAAATTCAACCCATTTTAAAATGTGACAGGTGGACTTCATGTAAGTTGGCAATAGTTCTGGTACTAAAAATTGTGGTTGTTTTTTTCTGTTTACGTAACCTGCTTAGTATTGACACTCTCTACCAAGAGGGTCTTCCTAAGAAGAGTGCTGTCATTATTTCCTCTTGTCAACAACTTGTGACACGAGATTTTTTTAAGGGCTTTATGTGAACTATGATATTGTAATTTTTCTGAGCATATTCAAAAGGTTAACAAAATTATGTTTATGTACTAAATCTAATCAGGAAAGTAAGCCAGGAAAAGTTGATGGTATTCATTAGGTTTTAACTGAATGGAGCAGTTCCTTATGTAATAACAATTGCATAGTAGGGATAAAACACTAACTTAATGTGTATTCGTTTTAAATTGTTCTGTATTTTTAAATTGCCAAGAAAAATAAACAACTTTGTAAATTTGGAGATTTTTTCCAACAGCTTTTCGTCTTCAGTGTCTTAAAGTGGAAGTTAACCTTTACCAAAAAAGGAAGTTGGCAAAAACAGCCTTCTAGCACACTTTTTTTAATGAATAATGGTAGCCTAAACTTAATATTTTTATAAAGTATTGTAATATTGTTTTGTGGATAATTGAAATAAAAAATTCTCATTGAATGCACCTATTAATCCTTTTAGTTGCCGTTCATATTCTCATTCATTTTTTAAAAATTGGTATATTCTGAATTTATTCTTCCATTGGGGAAAAAATGTTCAGTTACTCGTAACTACTGAGCAGAATTTAATCAATCCTTTATTAAATTCAGAACATTATTGAACTCATTCTTGGTGGTCAATTTTCTATGTCAAGTGAGTGACATTATTTTTATAAGCATTTTCTTCTTTTTAAAATTATACCAGCAAATACAGTTAATGCAGAAACCTAAGTAATCTGAGTGGAGCTATTCACAATCTCTGTAAAGAATATAAAATAGAACGACCAGTTTTATTATAAATTAAGGGGCTTAATTTTCTAAAAAAGGAAAATATGAGCCTTATCTCTATGTGTTTTATAATTATTTTATTATATAGGTATAATGAAAATAAAATAGTACTAAATTTTGAATGGTCATTCAAAAGCATTTATTTTCAATAAGATAATAGTGTTAATTACCGTTTACTACTATCTAAAATTATTGGCTTTTTCTCTGATTTCTAAAACACCTCATTTAGTGAACGTTTATTTTTGTAGTATAGCACTAGTTCCTCAATTTAAGAATGTTTTTCTAGTTTCCTGTTTGCCTTTTAATTTTCCATATAATTTCTGACATGTAAGTTGTACATTTGTAGATTGTCAAATCTGTTCATTCCTTTTTTATGCTTAGAAGTCCTCATCTACCCCAAGATTAATATTCATCTATCTATATTATAGTTTGTGCTTGTGTGTGTGTGTGTGAGAGAGAGAGAGAGAGACAGGATCTTGCTCTGTTGCCCAGGTTGAAGTGCAGTGGCACCATCATGACTCACTGCAGCCTCAACCTCCCAGGCTCAAGCAATCCTCCCACGTCAGCCTCCCAAGTAGCTGGGAGTACAGGCGTGAGCCACCTTGCCTGGCTAACTTTTGATATTTTGTAGAGACAGGGTTTTGCCATTTGCTTAGGCTGGTCTCAGAACTCCTGAGCTCAAGTGATCCACCTGCCTCGGCCTCCCAAAGTGCTGGGATTACAGGCATAAGCCACTGCACCCAGCCCTATAGGTTATGCTTTTTAAAAAGCATTTTAATTCATTTGGAAGTTGAGTATAAAATGTGGCTTAAGGGCCAGGCACATTTTATACTCAATGTGGGGTGCTGTGATGCGATCTTGGCTCACTGCAACCTCTGCCTCCCAGGTTAGAGCAATCCTTGCGCCTCAGCCTCCTGAGTAGCTTGAATTACAGGTGCATGCCACCATGCCCAGCTAATTTTTGTGTTTTTAATAGAGACAGGGTTTCGCCATGTTGGCCAGGCTGCTCTCGAACTTCTGACCTCAGATGATCCGCCCACCTCGACCTCCCAAAATGCTGGGATTATAGGCGTGAGCCACCACAACTGCCCCAAAACAAATATTTTTTAAATGAGTTTTTCAGTGTCTATTTTTCCAATATTAGTAAACCATTTCTTCTAAAACTGTTGGACAGAATGTTCAATTAGCTGTTATACTGCAATTCAATAACTTACGAGTTGAATTTTAAAATGAATAGGAAGGAGGCTGGGTGCAGTGACTCATGTCTGTAATCCCAACACTTTGGGAGTCTGGTCTGGAGGATCGCTTGAGCCCAGGAGTTCAAGATCAGCCTGGGCAGCATGACGAAACCCCATCTGTACAAAAATTAGCTGGGCATGGTGGTGCGTACCTGTGGTCCCAACTTCTAAGGAGGCTGAGGTGGGAGAATTGTTCAAGCCCAGGAGGTAGAAACTGCAGTGAACTGCGATCGCGCCACTGCACTCCAATCTCGGTGACAGAGTGAGACCCTGTCTCAAAAAAAAAAAAAAAATAGAACTAGAAATGACACTTAGTAAAACAATAAAAGCTAAGTAGATAATATGTGCAAATTCTGTAGTAGCAGGAATGGCCCCCGGGACCTTGAAGAAACAGATGGCGGTATTCAATTTTAAGATCCTTGCAGAGTCCTTGCTACCCCAAACCTTCCTGCAAATTGGCTACACACAACCGTGAGTCAGTGACCTTAGGAAAGAAAAGGGATTGGGGTCACGGCCAGAAGGTGTAATGACAAGCTACAAAAAAGGATAGGGATGGATTTCATAACCTAGCTTAAATGCAATGGGGAAATAAATTCGGGAAATAAATCAGGTCAGTAGAAGAAAAGACTACCAAGTACTTCCAGAGATACTTGGAGAGACACTGGATTTCACAGGGACATGGCATAGGGGTTCAATCCAGCTTCACTGCGATCTTAAAGGTCAAGTTAACTTGAGTAAGTTGGAGGACTTTGAAAATCCAAGTAAAAAATTGTCACTAGCCTGTGACAATAGGGATGAGAGAAATAAAAACTTTGCAGTTGACCAAAAAGGTTGACAGTGATTCTAATAACTGAATTAAAGTGGTGTGGCCCTTAAAGTTTATTAAATTCCACTTATTCACTCATAATTGCACCATTTTCATGGAAAGTCTTAGTCTCCTAAAACACTGAGAGGATATACCGTGGAACTAGATGGCAAACTTGGTTTGGTTGGTTTTTGTAATCTTTATAATTGCTAGAAAGTTAGAAAAGGGTGGTATCACTTCAGCAGAAATTTTGAAAAACTCGTGGAACCAGAAGAAACCCAATCTAAAAGAAATACAAGAGAACATTTTTGCAGTTTTAAGTGCAATTTCAAAGAAAATTCAAACTTAGAATCAAATTCAAAGAGGAGGCAGCACCCCAAAGCAATATTTTTTGTTTTACTGAGGTATAATTTACATACAACAAACTCACCATTTTAAGTGTACCACTAGAGTTTTTGACAAATGTATACAGCCATGAAACCACTACCAGAATCACAGAACATTTCCATCATTTCAGAAAATTCCATTATGCCCTTTTACAGTCAACCTCTTCATTCACCCTGACCTCTGGCAACCGCTGAGTGTTTTCTGTGACTGTAATTGTACATTTCTAGGGCTTTATTATATAAATGGAATCATATGTAGTCAATGTGTCTGATGTCTTTCGTTTAGCATAATGCTTTTGAGATTCATGTTTTTATGGCTCAGTAATATTCCATTGTGTGGATGTGTACTACATCCTGGTTTTGTCCTTTTACCAGTTGATGGATGTTTAGGTTGTTACTAGTTTTAGGCTATCAGAAAGCTGCTATGAACATTCAAATACAAGTTTTTATTTTAAACATAGGTTTTAAATTCTCTTGCATAATTACCTGAGTAGGATTACTGAGTTGTATAGTACATGAATGTTTAACTTTCTAAGAAACTGATAACCTATTTTCCAAAGAAGCTGTACCCTTTCACACTCCTCCAGCAATGTATGAGAGTTCCAGCTGCTTCACATCCTTGCCAATACTTGGTATTGCCAGTCACTTTAATTGTAGCCATCCTGGTGCGTGTTAGTAGTACATCACTGTGGTTTTAATGTGCGTTTCCCTAATGACTAATAATGTTGAGTCTTTTCATAAGCTTATTTCAAATTCATATATCTGCTTAGGTGGAATGTCTATTAAAGTCTTTTGCCCATTTTTTATATCAAGTTGTCATCGTACTGAGTTGTAATTTTTTCAATATTCTGCATACAAGTCCTTTAACAGATGTTTTGCAAATATTTTTCTCTCAATCACAGCTTGCGTTTTCATTTACTTAATGGTTTTTTATCAAAGAGAAAACATTTTTAATTTTGATAATTTGACAATGTTTTTCTTTTATGATTCATGCTTTTAATGTCCTAAGAAAGTTGGTTTTATCCAAGTACAAAAAGATTTTCTCCTGTGTTTTCTTTAGAAGTTCTATAATTCCAGCTCTTAAAATTTGGATCTATATTCCACTTCGAGATGATTTTTGTGTATGATATAAGGTAAGGATCCAGGGTTGTTTTGTTCGTTCATAGGGATATTCAATTGTTCGAGCACCATTTGTTGGAAAGACTGTCTTACTCATTGAATTTTGTTGGCCCCTGTGTTTTTTTTTTAATTTTTTAATTTTTTTTTTAATTTTTATTTTGTAGACGGAGTCTCGCTTTGTCGCCCAGCCTGGAGTGCAGTGGCACAGTCTCGGCTCACCGCAACCTCTGCCTCCCGCGTTCAGATGATTCTCCTGCCTCAGCCTCCCGAGTAACTGGGACTACAGGTGACCGCCACCAGGCCCGGCTAATTTTTTGTATTTTTAATAGAGACGGGGTTTCACCGTGTTAGCCAGAATGGTCTCCATCTCCTGACCTCGGGATCCGCCCGCCTCGGCCTCCCCAACTGCTAGAATTATAGGCGTGAGACACCGCGCCCAGCCTTATTTATTTATTTATTTATTTATTTATTTATTTATTTATTTATTTAGAGTCGGAGTCTCCCTCTGTCGCCCAGGCTGGAGTGTAGCAGCGCGATCTCGGCCTCCCGGGTTCAAGTAATTCTGCCTCAGCCTCCCTAGTAGCTGGGATTACAGGCTCGCACCACCACACCCTGCTAATTATTGTACTTTTAGTAGAGGCGGGATTTCGCCATGCTGGCCAGGCTGATTTCAAACTCCTGACCTCAGGTGATCCGCCCGCCTCGGCCTCCCGAAGTGCTGGGATTACAGGCTGAGGTAAGGTATTTAAAACACCCTGCATCGGTATGGGTGTAATAAATGATGACCTGCCTCTTAATTTATCAGGTGGCAAACTGAGACTGTGGGCACTTAAAAAGACCTAGCATTTTCTAGCGCACTGCTCTCCTGGGTACGCTGGCCACACCTGCGGCCTCGGGTCGGGAGCTGAGCCACTGGCCGGAATCTGCCGCTGAGCAAATGCACTCGCTCAGTCCCGACGTCTCCCTCCAGGGCGCCGCTCCCGGGCAGGTCCCTTCACGATTCTTCAATTCCGGCCGAGCAGGGTTCCGCGGAGGTGCCGACCTGGCGCGAGGCCTCCTGCCCGCCCAGGTTCCCCGGCGGCCCTGAGCGAACCCTGGCGGGTTCAGCTCCTTCCAGGCTGAGAAGGGAACAGCGGAA